GGCAGTTCGAAAACAAACTATTGGCGCTGTCGTCATTATTCATTTCATATCTTCAAATAGATTTCTTTTTTATAGAACATCAGGTCCTCAAAATCGATACAAAATGTAGCTATGCAGTCCAAAGATTACACAATTTTTTGGCAAAAACAACATATAACGAGTAAAAATCATGCCACAAAAAAATATACTCCCTCCATCCTGTCAAAAATGCTCTTATATTATAGGACAGAGGGAGTATTTGTCTACACAACTCTAAATTAACTATACTCCTTAACACTAGCTTCCCACGATTTAAACTCCCTTGGATTAACAAATCGTAGCTAGCGACCATCACATGACGAAAGAAAAAAAAAAGTGCACCTCATTCGCTTAGAAGATCGACAAATCTCTTGAAATTCTCGTACGAGGAGCCGCCCTCGCTGAGGCACTTGCGAGCTGCATCCCTGAGCATACCTGCCCTCTCTGCAATTCCCTCGTCACCGATAACCAATCCCAATTTGACGGCCACCTCCTCCTTTGTCCCGACGCCATCTTCACCGGGCGTCACGGCCAGTCCGGTCCTCCAGATATCGCAGATGTAGCTCCGGTTCGCGAACTGGTCAACGAAGTACGGCCAGCACAGGATGGGCACGCCATTTCTGACCCCCTCCATCGTCGAGTTCCAACCGCAGTGCGACACGAAGCACGCCACCGCGCGGTGTGCGAGGACCTGCACGTCGAAAACGAAATTTAAAAAGTTCGCCATCACGATCTAACGCTTACAATATGCACTGAGGTCTGAGGCGCACAGATTAAACATAGCATGAGAGCTAGGTAAGTTGATGATAATGTATGATACCTGCTGCTGGGGACACCAACTAACGATCATGCCTCTGCCGTTGACGGCGACGCGGTTCGTAAACTCGTCGAACCACTCCTTGCTCAGGCCGTTGGTCGTGAAGTCCGGGCGCACGACCCACAAGAACGGCCGGCCGGTGAGCTCCAGCCCCTCGGCGAGCTCACGGAACTGCCGCGGGTCAAAGATGGTGAAGCTGCCGAAGGCCACGTACACGACGGATTTGTCGGTGTGGGCGTCAAGCCACTTCAGGCACCCCGTGTCCTCCGGCAAGAACTGCCCGACGGGCTTCCGGAACCCCTGGTCGGCGAACAGCGGGCCGATGGGCACTATGCTGGGGAACAGCTCGAACGCCGCGGTCTCGGCGTCGAGGAACGAGTTGCACACGATGATCTCGGCGAGCCTGGTCGCCTGGGTGTTCCTGGACACCAGCCGGAAGGATACCTCCTGCCCCTCGGCGGCGCCGTCGATGCTCCACGGCATGTGCGACGTGTACATCGGCGGCATGTTGGGGGCGATCTCGAATGCACCTCGACGTTTCGGGAAGCCTGCATTTATTCATAGAAATTATTCAGTCCAGTGCTTCTTCTCTTGAGAGAAAAATGGCAATCCTCTGTTCAGATTTTAGGTGTGTTAACAAAACAGTAATCTCACACAGGCAGTGCAAGATGCCAAGATGGAATGATACACAAGCTTTGCCTATTCCCGAAAAAAAATGCCAAGATGGATGGATCTTTGGTACCCTTGTCATCGAAGAAGCCGTCCTCTATCAGCTGGGGAAGCCGGAGCAACGTGCCAAGGCCCGCCGCGGACGCCGGGAAGATGCAGGCGACGCGGACGCCGAGCTTCTTGGCAACCTCGAAGCACAGCCCCATGTTGGCGTCGCCGAGGAGCCACCTCACCTTCGTCTCCCTGATGAGCTGCTCGACATAGCCTGGTAAGCACCGCGAGATCCCGTCGAGAAACTTGCACAGGTCCCTCCGGTCGTCGCCGTCGGCCAGGCCGTCCGGTATGGAGACCAGGCGGATCCCGTCCAGCGCCTCGCCGTCGTCGGCGTTCCGCCGAAGAGCATCGAGAAGAAGCTTGCGGATGGGCTCGGTGCAGACGAAGGTGACCTGGAAGCCGTGGTCGACGAGGCGGTGCGACAGCTCCATGAGCGGGGTGACGTGGCCCTGCGCCGGGAACGGCAGCACCATGACATGAGGCGCCGCGCCGGCCATGCCGGTGCCGATCGATGGGATGGATTCGCGTCCGGAGCCTCGCGGATAGCTGTTGTGTGGCGGTCGAACTGGAACTTGAAGGCAAATAGTACCGGCGTCGAGATCACAATCGAGAGAGAGAGTTCAGATGTGGGCTGATGATTGGAGGATGGTGTTATTCCTAGTACTCCCGTGAGGCCGTGAGTGGGAGTGAGCGACTGACTGACAGACGACGACCAGTGCACCAACCAACCTCTTGCACTCTTGCACATAAAGTACAGTACTACTCCTAGTAGAAAATAAAGAAAAAAAATGTGGAGAATAACTAGGGATAAGCGCACGCAGTATTCTTTAAACCGCGAGAATCAGATGAAGATCAAAACCATTAGCAATAGGGCACTCCATGTCTCCCTCGCAAAAAAAAAAAAGCGCAATAGGACAGCTAAGGAAACTACCCTTGGGAAACATAATATAGGTATCGATCGGTGTACACCTCGGCCATGGAACCTAACGTTAAACAAGCAAGAGAGTGAAGGAGAAAGCGAGAAGGAAGACATTGTTTTGGGCATTTTTTCTTACTTTAGTCATATGTAAGTTGCCTGAAAATTAATTTTGGGTTAGTAGATCTTTTTACAATTGATATCTGCTTTGAGATTCGTGATTTTCTTTCACGCGCTGTTTTGTGAGCTGGTTTTTACTGACCACGTATTTGCGTCAGTTGATTTGCTATTGGTCTGAAGCCCATTACATGTACCGCCCAACCCATCCCTTTTTCCCCTTTTTAAGTTTTTATTTGCTTCTTCTTTTGTTTTTTGCTTTTCTTTATTAGTTGGTTTTTACTGTACGCAAACTGGTCGGGCCACAACTCACTATATATATGAAAATGCATGCCCCCACCCCCTCCTCATGTGGGCCTATAATCATGCAGGCCATTAGTAGGACTGACACCATGGAACCACTGCAGAGGTTGTTTGAAGTGGCGGTAGACAGAGGTATTTTGGCACCTTTGGCCACGAGAGGAATGAAACAAAGGCTGTCAATATATGCGGATGATGTGGTCTTGTTCGTCAAGCCGAGGTTGGTGGACTTGCAAGCTTGTAGGGCAATCTTGGCCTTGTTTGGCGAAGCCTCCAGATTACACATTAACATGACAAAATCGGCAGCTCTGCCGATTAGGTGCACAGAGGAGGAGATTGAGTTGGCCGTGAATGAGCTCGGGTGCCCGGTTGGTTCCTTTCCGATCAAGTATCTTGGTCTGCCGCTTGCATTGAGGAAACAGTCCGCGGCGCAGCTGCAATACCTTGTGGACAGCATGGCGAGCCGCTTGCCTAAATGGAAGGCCGCATTAATGCCAAAGAGTGGAAGACTGATGCTTGTCTTGTCAGTGTTATGTGCAATGCCGATACATGCGATGATGGCTTTGGATTTACCTATAAAAACGATTAAGGCCATGAACAAAGTTTGCAGAGGATTCCTTTGGTGCAACAAGGAGAAGGCCAACGGTGGCAATTGTTCCGTTGCCTGGGAAACAGTCTGTGCACCCAAGTGGGCGGGTTGCCTGGGCATCCCCAACTTGCGCTGGATGAATCTGGCGATGCAAGCGCGATGGCCGTGGCTGCAACGTGTTGATGGGAGCAGGCCATGGAGCGAATTCAGTATTCAGGTGCCGGACGAGTCACTACAACTATGCCAAGCTGCTTTGAGAGTCAACGCAAGGAGTGGGGAATCCACTCTGTTCTGGGAAGACAGATGGTTGGACGGATTGAGAATGCAAGAGTTGGCCCCGGACATATACAGTAGGATCCCAATGCGGGTTCGGCAGTCTATGATGGTTGGGCAGGTGGTAGCCGATGGGCAGTGGGCGTTGGACATCGGCCCAGATATGGATGCAGCAGCTCTACATCAGTTTCTCCAGATTTGGCAGTGGGTCATGGCATGGGAACAAATTCCCGGTGAGCAGGATGAGTTCTTGTGGTCCTGGGATGCGAGTGGGAAGTTCTCGGTGCGCTCAGCGTATGCAGCCAGGTTTTGGGGTCGGGAAGTGGTACCCATTGCAAGGTTAACCTGGAAATGCAGGGCGCCGTCGCAATGCCGCTTCTTTGCATGGTTAGCCCTGAAAAACAGGTGCTGGACTTCTGATAGGCTTGCGAGGAGAGGCTTACCGCACCAATCAGCATGTCCGTTCTGTGATCAGGAACCGGAGACTGTAAACCATGTGTTGCTCACGTGCGCTTTTGCCAGGACAGTGTGGGCAGTGGTGGGAGAGGCCCTGGGTAAAACTGGTTGGGGGCCGAGCAGCGACGATGAGCTTGGGGCCTGGATGTGTGCCAAGAAAGGAAACGGCTACCTAGGCAACAAGGACATACATACCATGTTATTGCTGGTCTTGTGGGAGCTATGGAAACATCGCAATGCAATTGTCTTTGACGGCGCGGCACCCTCAGTGGAGAGGCTCATTGACAAGATCAAAGCTGAAAGCGCGTTGTGCGTAATGGCGGGGCTGTTCAAAGGGAGGTTGGACGAGTTCCTAAGTGGATTACATAGGTGGTGGATTGGGGAGGGGTAGGATGTGTGGACGTGGGTGGAGTGTGTACGTGTTGTAAGGCCGTACATGCGTGTAATGTAACTGTGGAGGCATACTTTGTCTTTCTTCTTTAATATATGATATGCACACTCGTGCATATTCGAGAAAAAAAAATTAGTAGGACTGAACGAAAACTGGCCCCCAAGTAGTTTCGGGCCTTTAACATGCTAAGTATGAGCCTTAGTTCAGCCAGAAAATACCATAGACTTCTAAAAAGTAGATTATGACCTATGTCGAAGAAGTGAACACTTCCATGATAATAAATTATGCATTGTCATGGAACACTTCCGCGAGAACACATATATGACTATCTTGATTCTATCAGAAATTCGTCACGGATGTACGTGTGTGATATAAAATTTGACCCACTGCGACAAACACATATCAGCACATAAGTGCCTTTTTTGTAGTGGGGATATGCCAAGCCTTATTAACTATGAAGATATTGGCACAATCGTCAAGCCTTGTATGCACACATGCCGCATTCAAGATTTTCTTAAGGCGTGCCAAAATAGTGAAGACCTGGCCTCACACCATCAGCTGAAGGAGGATCTCATTGAGCATCATTGGCAGATTGTTGGGAGATAGGGTGTTTAATTTGGTTTACTTGAACGATTTATTTGATAAGATTATTTGTTGCATTTGGATTGTTTGGTAAATTGAATTATTTTCCAGATTAATGGTTTGTAATAATGTTTGTTGAATTATTGAATTACTTTATCTAAATGGCTCACTAGTGTAGAAAGAAGAAAACAGGGGGGAAATGGAGACTGCATTATGACAATTATGTGTTTGCGCACATCTTCTCAGGCTCCAAATGCATATAAACCGCGCTTCAATATGCGTTAGGGAGGCTGCCCATAGGGCGACTTTGCTAGAGTTGCTCTTATTTTGATTTTAGGTCCCGGACTTTCATGTAAACAACAAGAAGGCTTGTATCCTTTTGACTACCGGCTATTCAAGGTAAGGGCGCGTCGGTGACCAAGTTGTTGGTGAGGTCGGACGACTGCATCATTGGCGAGGGAGCCTCGTCGGCGACTACCATATAAACTAACACCTAATTATAGTTAGTTTCTGCCTGATTTTCTCTCTCTTTAAGCCAAAGATTTGAGGTTTTTATCCTTTCTCCGGAGGAATGGTCATATGGATTTATCACAGTATTGACGTTGTTTTTTATAATTATGATGCTATTTTTACGTGAGGTGCATTCATTTAGGTGATGACAGCCGAACGTCAGGTACGAGCACATGGCAAATCGACCGTTTTCAATGGCAAGTTTAATGATGCGAGGATGACAACTTCATGTTTCAGTTTATTTTTGACAAAAATTTGTCGTGTGTGTCAACTAACTTGCCATCCTTTACGTCAATGGCGTGGTGAGTCCGTCAGTGACTATTCATGCAGTTCGTCTCTGTCTTGTTGGAAGAGCAAAAATTTGACATTTCCACGTTAACCTGATACTCTGTTTAACTCTGTTCATCACCACAGCGTCAACTACACCTGTCTGATAAATTGCACTGGATTCAGTCGAGGTATCAGGGATCACAATTCAACCGAATTACAATAATGGCTATCAGATTGGTGCTAATTAAGCTGATGATGACGATGACGTTGGCGCTCACTTGGTGTGGCCTTTCTTCCTGGCGGCGAGCAGGGAGCCGAAGGTCGGCCGACAGTACGCCCCGGTGGCGTCGTGGAAGAACATGCCGGCGACGACCTTGTACATGGCCTCGGTCATGTGCACCCCGTCCCAGTTGACGTACCTGGCGGGCTGGGCGCAGGCGGTGGCGACCTCCGGCGAGCCGCAGGTGGAGATGATCTCGAAGTTGTAGGTGCCGCCGCCTGTGCCGCAGCAGGCCTTGAAGGGCTCCGCGAAGCCGTACCTGGTCGGGCTGCGCACCACGGCGAGGTGCGCGGCGTGATAGTCGGTGTAGGCGATGATGGCGTCCGGGTGGCTACGCCGGAGCCGGTGGAGCCCCGCCTGGAGGTGGTGGTTGTGGTCGAGGTTCTGCTGGTTAATGGACGCCACGCAGCTGAGGTTGTCCCGGTCCCACGGCTGTGACAGCGTCATCGCCAACGGCAAGCACCCCGTCAGCGGCATCCCCTGCACCACGACATACTTGGCCCCTCTCTTCAGCAGCCCCTGCATTTATTTCCATGTTTCTTTATTAGCCGCCTACTAGAAATCATTCTGGTGGTTGAGACAAATTTGCACTTAATTTGTCCATAAAATAAGTGTTTGTTTTCTCAAAACTCAAGTTTCACAAATTTGAAGCTTATAGAGAAAATTACCTATACTTATAGTACAGAATACATTTCAGGATGAATCTGATGGTATTTATTTGGTATTCTAGATGTTGATAGTATACTTATTTTTTTATACTACATTTGATCTAAACCTACAAAGTTTGACTTCAAAAAGAAATCTAAACACACTATATTATGGGACTCGTGGAGCATTTCTCATGCGACTAAACCATTTCTAGGGCACCACCATAACTTTTAAATAAAACACAACATTTTGTTTGAATAAGAAAAAAAGAAAAAAAAATGGTCGGATGGTTATAAAACTTTGTATCCAATATTTGGGAGGCTCATCCCCACTCTTTCCATAGCGGATTGGTTTCTCTCCCTTCATCGGCATTGGTGTGCTGGTGTGGTGCCTTCTAGCTCGTTGGAGTGTCGGTGCGTTTGGTGGTGTGTTTGTCTCGGGTTCCATCGCTTTGGCAGACGGTGGGGGACTTTGTTCCCTTTGTATCTGATTTTTGCCCATTTCCCCTAATTAACCGGTAACTCTTTTCTTCAACATGGAAATGCAGGAACCCACTGCCCACCTTTCGAGTTGTTACTTGGAAAAAAATGTGTAAATACAAAAGAGATGAAAAAAAAACACTTTGTCCTAGGTCGCCGACTCGAGGGAGTAACCACGAGTCATTTGCTCTTTGTCACATCCACCGAAAAACCCTTAATTACTATAGTACACTGACGAAATGTTAGGTGGGTGGTACTTTTGTGTGAGGGGTGGGTGCACGAGGCATATATTGTGGCCTGCTTAGCCTTGGCTTCCCCCGCTTTACAATCAGACTAATTATGCCTGATGCCTAAAAGTCATTTATTAGTCAAACATTTTTTAGTGTATAGTTGTTTTAATCCTTGTCTTTTTTACTTTACTTGTTCCTGATTTAGTTTATCTTACCATTTGCATGACTCGATAGAAGACATCACGAGTAGACTATCCACTAAACTCTGGTTTGGGTGCGACCACAACTGGAGACCGTGACACCTCTAGTTAGGATAAACCGGGAATGTCTAACCTTAGCTCCTCGGATTCAATAATTATCTGGAAATGCTTTCGTGAAAAGTTGTGATCCGTGCCCTTACGGTCATCAAGTTCTCTTTGTACCCATATACTTAATTCACTTTTTTTAATAAATGGTGGATTTTATTGACTTGAAATAAAACATCAAGGGGATACCACCTACGTTGTTCAGGCAATTGATTGGTTAGAGATGATGAATGTTCATCCATGTTATGTGCTTCGTGTCCATTATCCCGTGGACATTGTGGATCTAACGAACACCTTAATCATCAATTAATATGAGTATGAGCTCGACTGTAATGCCAACATATAATACTCCTATAATAGTGACGATAAATAACCGCTAGTAAGGAGGCTAAAATAACCGGTAGTTAGGAGGCCGGTTAAAGAATATCCGACACCCGCTGAACACAGTAGAGAGCCGACTCCTTGGAGGTCAAGTTAGTGAGTAGCTAGATACTCTATTAACGACACAGAAGTAAGAGCATGGAAGCTCTGAGCACTGACAGTGCTAATTCCTAGCTGCATTTTATTTTCACCAGTCACTTGTCGAGAACAGTCCTGATATTGGGAGTGTGTCTATCAGTGAGACCTAGCGAGCATCCAAGCTAGTTGCTTTCGGTACCTTCCGTCGACATGCATGCATGCATCTGCATGCTCATTGTGTCCTTGATTAATGCATGCATTTGTGAAGGAGTAGTAACATAGAAGAAACACAAAACTAGAGCAACTGAGGCTGAGCAACATAGTATATATACCTGGAGGAAGGTGGTTATCCTATCGATGGCCATGTTCCGGATGCGCTCTGACGGGAGGGCGTCAGGGGCCATGAAACTGTATCCGTAGTCGTTGGCGCCGATCTCGCCCACCCAGAACAGCGCATCGCCGACGCCCCTGCCATCGCCGCCGGCACTACGCGTCCTGAGGTGCGCGTCGAACCAGCCCAGCTGCGTCATGATGGACTGCGGCGTGATGTTGGCGCTGAGGTTCTGGCTGGCGAAGAACTCGTACTCGATGGCCGTCGCGCCGGCCACCGCGAAGTTGATGCCGGAGTAGCTAGCTCTGGTAGCGGTGGCGTTGCGGGAGAGGGTGGAGAGGTAGGGCGGCAGGAAGGAGGGGAGGGCGAGGACGTCGGTGGCGAGGAAGTCGACGACGAGGCGGCCGTCAGAGTAGCGGTTGGTGGGGCGGTGGAAGAAGGTGGCGCCGTACGGCGGGTGGGACACGCCGAAAAGGAGTAGGGCCCCGTCGTGGAGTGCGTGTTGCCCGTGTCCGTCAACGAGTCGCCGAACGCGTACAGCGTCCGGAACGGCCGCACCGGCGAGGATGGTGTCGCGGCCGCGACGGAGACGACGGTCACGGTGAAGAGGAGGAGGAGGCCGCGGGCGGTGGCGGACACGTCCATGGCGAGCTGGATGGCGCTGAACTAGCTTGCTGCAGTCTGTGCCGCCAGCGTTTGTTTCTCTGTTGCGTTTCGGTTCGGCGTGTCCGTCGTGTCCGTGCGGCAGTTTTTATAGTTGGGTTCATGCCCGCTGGCACAACTGGCTGGGCTGGACCGGGCTAATAAGTCAGAGAGGCCCCCGCTCGAGCCTCCTGCCACAGCGATTGACCTGCAGGTGCCGGCAAGTCAATCTGTGCTGTCTATGCTCCCATTCGGTTGGGAAAATAAGTTCTGTGGAACACAAAAGTTGTAATTAGTAGGTAAGTGGTACTAGAGACCATAATAAGGTTTGGTCTGAGGTAGGAGGAGGGAAGCACATGGATCAGAGAGTGTAGATTTGTTGTTTACAATTTTTTTTTTGAGACACGTTGTTTACAAATGTGTTAGTTCAATCATGGCTGGACCAACCCTTCTCATTGGTTTATGTGGCCAACAATAATACACACATAACAGGCTAACCAGAATTTTCAGGCGCTGCACTTACACCTCTGTCCATCTCCTAAATGACGGGCACGGCTATGCATCGCGCTTACTGCTAAATACATATATTATGAAAACCAATTGGTTAATTCTTAAAGTGTTCATCACAAAAAAAAATGTAAATGCAGTGTCTGCTAAACTTTTTTTAAAGTATTTCGACCATTTCAAAAATGTATGAACATTTTAAGAAATCACGTGTTTAAAAGAAAATGTATGTTACATTTTATAAAAATGTTATACAATGTAAACAAATGTTCCATGCTATTCATAAAAAATGCATGTTACATTTAGAAAAATGACCATGCGTTTCAAAAAAAATGTTTTTGATTTTCAAAAATGTTTATCCAATGTAAAAAATGTCCGCATAGTTCAAGGGAAAAATTCTCATCATACAAAAAAAGTGTCAACATACATTTGAAAAAATATTTAACACGTATCCAAAAAATGTTTAAAACATGTATTTATAAAATTTTAAATCATGTATTTAAATGTACTAATCATATATTAAAAATATTTTAAATGTATACAAAAATGTACAATGCGTATGAAAAAATAGGCATCAAAACATATATTTGCAAAAAGCTAAAAATGTGTACAAAATATTGTTCCTGATGTATACAAAAAATATAAAATTCATATGAAAATGTAGATATGTGTTGAAAAATATGGTGAAAAGTAAAAAAATAAATCAAGAAAATCAAGAAAGAAACGTACAAAACCGGAGAAAAATAAAACAAAACCCCGATACAAAACTGCTCCTCAACTCGTCCCTTACTGGGCCGGCCCACATGCAGCGAGCGTATGGCCCTTGCGGACACATTAGGAATCAGCACGAGCAACGTATTGCCTCAAGAAAAGAAAAAGCACGAGCAACGTATAGCTGTTGCGTGAAATGACTACAAACAGTATATACTCCTATTAATTTGGTTTGTATTCTTTAGCTGGATTCAACCTACTCAAATTTGGTTTGGTCCCTGTTCCATTAAATGGTTCTTCATTTTTGCATTCCACACCATTTCTGCCATGCCCAAGCCATTTAACCAAATGCACCTGGTTAAGGCAAATGAGTTTATGTGCCTATTTCTTTATGTTGCAAGTATTTACATTGCAGTGCCTATGCACACAACGGTTATTTTGGAGACTGGTTGCTTGTGCGTGCATAACTACTTGGAAGGGGAGGATGATGTCGATCGCTGGAAGGCGCGTCCTGGTACAAAGAACCTATTGGTGGCACAACCGCACAGGCGCTCCCGGACAACACATGGATCACCGATCTGGCTCACGTTAATACCACCTACCTACTACAAGATGTGCTCTGTCTCCACTGAGTTCTTCAGCAGAACCAAGTGGCGCTCCAAGAAGATGTTGTGGATCAGATTAGATGGGATTTTGAGAGCTCGAGGGAGTACAGTTCCTGCTCGGCATATCGTATGCAGTTCCTGGGACCGAAGAACGAGCAATTCAGAGAAGTGATCTGGGAGACCTGAGCTCCGGCAAAGCTAAAGACCTTCGTGTGGCTGTTACATCAAGATCACTTGTGGTGCATTGATCGGCTGCAACGCGTAGAGGCTGGGAGAATGGTTACTTCTACCAACTTTGCCTGCGCAACCCGGAGCGCTCGGAGCACCTATTCTGGCATTTCAATTTTTCTGTGACATTTGTGACAAAATGGCGCTCTGGTAGGGCTGCAACACGCTTGGCCAGAACACTTGGGCACACAGCAAGAGCTCCTTGGAGATGATGACGGCCATCATCGCCGTAACACAACCCAATCCGTCAGGAGATATGGCAAGAGAGAAATCGTTGCATCTTCAATGGAAAGGAGGCAAATGAACGGGGTGGTACAAGCAATCAAACAGAATTT